GCAATCACAGCTGTTGGCTCTTTCTCTCTCAAAGCTAACGAACTTCTGCAGTAAGTCTATCAATCATCTCAGTTTATGACATTTTACCATTTTATTCGTCACAACTTTTATGTTTTTTACATTCAGGGTGATTGACAAGAGCACAAAAAACTTCAAAGCTTTTTTCCGATGGCTGTATGTAGGTAAGAAGGAAGTAATTTTTGTTTTGTTTTTTTCATGTTCTACATCCTCATTGGCTCTTATAGAAGCTAATATTCACCTTGAAGTGTGAAACAGACGGTTTCTGGCTGCCGAGATCCTCTGTTAAGTCTTAAAATTTGATTCTCTACAGCAATGCTAAGAATGTGTGACGAACACGTACCGCCAGAGCTAAACAAGGTGAATTTTTAGCCCAGATTTATCACTTTTAGTCTTCCTATAATAATTTATCAGTTACATTATAATGTTTTATTTCCTCAGATGACTCAGAAGGACATTGCCTTTGTTGCTGATTTCTTGTCAGAGCATTTTAGTGAGGTGAAATGAGCAAATGCATCATATTCACATTTAAGAAATGTCTGAACATATTTTGAGTTGGAACTTGTTCTATTGTGGTTTTGCAGAACGAGGAACTCTTTGATCGTAAGGGGAAGTATTTCCATGTGGAGCGAGTTGGTCAGGTAAGTGACTAAATATTTTAGAAGAAATATGACTCATAGATGTTTGTGTCTCATATGGATATTTTTACAGTACCTGAAGGATGAAGATGAAGACCTTGTTTCTCCACCCAACACAAAGGGAAACCAGTGGCTGAAGTTCTTACAGGAGAGCACATACCTGAAAGGTAAATTGAGATTCTGAGTTTAGACAACCAGGCGACAAGGATGATTTAGGAAATCATGCAGTAACTTCTTTTATATTTTCATTGGTTTGTTAGTGAGCCCTTTGCTGTTTCCATCATACCCCCAAAAGTCTTTGCACTTTGTCAAGAGGATGATGGAGAATGTGATTGAGCGATGCCTACAGAAACCTGCTGTAAGTTTTTGGTGCGCTGCTGGTACATCTCAGTGATACAGGAAGAATATTCAGGAAGAATGTTGTTGAAAGTTGATCCCAAAAAATTAAACACAAAGTGTTTATATACCATTTCTGTGGTATTCAGCACATTGAATTAGTACTATAAATCACCTTTCTGATGATATTTTCCTTTACAGAGATACACCTGAATTATTTCCTCTTCATTAGTAGATAGTCATTAGGTTGAAACGTCTCTCAGCTTTGTGAATCCTTTTACAGGAAGTCATTGGAAGATCTGTGAAACAGGCTGTCTTTTTGCCTTTGTATGCTGTGTCAGACAAGTAAAGTCTTTTTATTGTTGTATATATTTCAGATATAAGATACTTAAATTCCCACAAGACGTTATAAATGTAATTACGTTTTGTTTTTTCTAGCTCGGAAAAGATTCCCCACCTTTTTGAACTTCCGTCTCTGTAAGTAAAACAGAACCTTCATGGAGATTTGCATCTGGATTAGCAGGAATGTGTTTTATATTGAGATTTTTTTTTTGTGGACCTTTCAGGTGGAACAATAAAAAAGGCAAAATGCACTGTGTTGTGTTCTGCATGCCAGAGATTTCACAAAGCAAGCTGTACTTGTTACGGAAAGGAACCGACCCAAACAGGTGCATTGTCTTCCAATCAAAAATGTCTTGGTCGCTTCTTTTTCAGGACTTATTACCCTGCTAACCTAATTAATTTTGCCTCTGTAGACCTATTCCAAACAGCTTCATGTCATTTGACCTCAGCCATTATTTGGACAGTACAGATGATGATGGTGTTGCAGCCCGGTGAGTTTATCTTGATCGTTTTATTTTATTTTTATTTTTCTTTGCACCTCAGAAGGTGAAATATATCACTTGTAATGTAACTCACACTTAAGTTTTTGTTTTGTTTATTTATTGCTATTTTAGGTCTCATTACGTCTACAGCTGCCTGGATGCTCGTTCCTATGATGATGAAATGCTAACGGTGGTCCTGCAGGGATCAGAGGATCAGAACAGCAGGCGCATCCTGGCTCAGGTTTCACTTGCCTCCAGCTTGAGCTGTGACTCTGAATTCAACTGGGAGCCCGGTGTGAGGTGTGTGCATGCGTGTGTGTGTGTGCGTGTGTGTATGTGTATGTTACAAAGCCTAGCAAAAATATTCATAACCCTGAAACACAGTTTAAAACTAGATTTTATATATAGAACAATACAAATCTCAGCCATTTAGCACATATTTGTGAGCTTAAAAGTGTGGTGTGCATTTGCATTCTTATTGAGCCAATACTTTGCAAATTGACTTTTTGGTCCAATTATAGCTGGAAGTATTGGGGTTTTTTTTCCTACGTCTTTTCCAGATCTGTCCATTTAAGGCTGAAATTTGTGCAAATTCTTGTAAAAATTAGCTCAAATCCAGTCAGACTAGGTAGTGACTCTGTTTACCAATCATTTGACTTCTGAAGAAAAGTGGTTGCACCTTATTTTACTCAGAAGTATTACAGTAAAAATGGGTGAAAATTATATTATTTGTAAAATAAATTCCAAACTGTTTTTATTTTTCGCTTCACAAATCTGAGCTAATTTATTCTGATTTATCACATGAAACACTGTTAAACTATTTAATATTCTATTTGTAATTAAAGGAAATCAAGTTTCACATTCGTCATCACCATTTAGCACATCACATGGAAAAGAATGCAGTCTCTGTCTCTCTCTCTCTCTGTCTGTAGAGCAAAATAAACAAATTGATCAACAAAATAACAAAACCTATCAAACGACAAATGCCCTCTGTGTTACCAGGTTGGACCAGCAGTGCAGCTCCATTCCCTGCCAGGGTCTGGTGTTGGGGAACCAGTGGCGTGAACTGGAAAACATGAAGGCCCAGTTTGTAGCCGTCAATGGAATCCGCAAAGTGGCCTGCGTGGTAAGTTTCAGAATTATAATTAAGAATCACCAGGTCTTCCTTGAGAATGAGATTTTAAATCTCAGGGAAACTTATCACTCTGCATAATTCTCTTGATAAACCTAATTAAAACAGCAAATTATATGAGAGATGCTGTGATGATAAGCCCACATTTTTCTCATTCTTCTCATCAAAAGTAATTTCCCCATATTCTCTGATTTTGCACAGTTGTATCAGTTGATTTCTTTGAGTTTGTGTGTCAGTGGCAGTAACAAGAGCAGAACGCTAAGTCATCAAATGAAATTTAAACTACAAAAATATTCAAGCAGGCATTTTCAATTTCAATGTCGCACGCATGGCTTTGAGATGTTGCTGCAGTTCGACATGTTGTACAGAATAAAATGCACAGTATTATAAATTTGTTTTGATGATCGAAAAGGTGTCATGGATGGTCACTTTTCTTTTTCGCTTTTCACTTGGCAGCTGAGTGCCAATTTAAGACACATCCGTGTTTTTGAGATGGATGTGGAAGATGAGGATGACGAGGGAGCCGAGTCTCAGAACGCCAGCGCTGACCAGGATGGACTGGAAACTGCGATGTCCGGTCAGGTGCCGGTGGAGGAGCGCTTGGAGTCAGAGGGAGAATCCAGAGAGCAGGAAGGAGACATGTTTCAAAAGTCAGAGGAACTTTTACAGTCGCAGGAAGCCTTGTAAATCGTGTGGCACTCGAACTGCATGAACTCTAAAGGACTGGGCTTACTTTTTTGTAAACATCTTTTATATTTAAAAATAAAACATCTTTCTGGATTTTTTTGTGATTTTTCTCTTTTAGTCTAAATTGTATGTTGAACCTAAACATTATTATCTTAATTTAAAAATTAACATTAAGCTATGTGTTAGCAGCAAACAAGTTTTGAACCTCAAAATGATCACATCTTTAATAATGGAATGGAAATTCCAGATTTAGCTCTGTGCAGCGTTCTCACATATGACTCAAATGTTTGCCGCAGCTTTGCAGGAAGATCTTGATTTAAAACTATAAACAAAGAGGAAAAAATAAAAGGAAGTACTTAAAACAATGTTAGGTTTTATATATAAAAAAAGAACAGTCTGTTTTAAGATCATGCCATGACATCTCAGTTAAAATCCAGACTTTGAGAAGGCCATTCTGAGGTGGACTTTTGGTTTGTTGTCCTGCTGCATAAACCTAAGTATGCTTGTGTTTATGGTCAAGAAAGATAGTCAGTCTCCTTCGCAAGTCGTCCAGACCCTGAACAGTAAACCATTTTGTTATTTTTCAAAATGCTGATCATTTGTTCAATAGTGTTTATTGCCATGGATTTCTCCCAAGGACTCACTTTTACCCAGTTTCTTTCTTACTGCCATGTCATTAACAGACAGTAACAAAGACAGGTGAGGCCTGCATGGGTTTAGATGTTTTTCTAGCTTATTCTGTGACCTGAATGTGTCGTCTGTGTGTTTGTAGGGTAATTTTGGTAAGCTGTGGATAATTGGTCTCGCCTTGGTCCACTTGAGTTCCAAACGCTTAGACGTTGCTTTGTAATTGCTTTCATTAAAAAGTTTGTTTGGAAATTATTGTTACATTTTCATTTCTCTAAGTAATTAGGACTGGGTCTTGCAAATGAAATTAACCTCAGCCTTCTGACAAATAAGGTTAATTTGAGTCCATTCATTATGTAGCAAGAAGTAGATAACCTTTTTGTTTTGTTTTATGAAGCTTTCCCCCCTTTACTAAATAGGTCTGCCTTCATAAATTGTAAACTGCTTTCTCAGGTTATACTTGTTTGGTGTGATGTCACCAGACACGTGCGTTTGTTTATGGACCGCAGGTTGTCTATCAGTTTTAGCTAACATTAGACTTTGTTTAACTACATGGCTGTTAGCAACAATCTTTCAGTCTTGACGCGTTTAATCTGGTTTACAAGACATGTAAGTACTAATATCTATAGAGGTTATAAGGTATAAAGTCCCCGCCCCCTTGACGTGACGCGGTTCAACGTGCACGAGCATATAGGTGTTGGTTACGTGCTCGCCCTCGACTTCGAGCGCAGTGACGTATGCTATCCGCCGCCTGTTGGTCTTTCACAGTTGGTGACGAGTATTATGAAAATGGCCTCGACCCTGCCCGTAAGCGCGACTATCCAGAGAAGATGACGACGCTGAGCTCGCCGAGTCAGTCAAACACCAAAGTGTCTTCTTTGAACACGTAGGTATTGGTAAGGAAAAGCGAAAGAAAGGGCCTGTCGGCGGAGGAACCGTCAAGAAAACCCTCCGGACCGCAGCGTATTTTCGACAGGCTGAGGAGTCACCATGGAGGATATCAACTCTAACATCAACGCGGACCTGGAGGTGCGGAAGCTCCAGGACTTGGTGAAAAAGCTGGAGCAGCAGAACGAGCAGCTCCGGAGCAGGTCCACGATGTTGTCTTCGTCCGGAGCCGTGTCGGCGAACCACAGACCCCTGAGCGCCGGGTACGACTCGTCCTCCCTGTCAGCGGGGATGGCAGCCGGTCTGGCCGGCTTCCCTGGGGTGGGGTTCGGCGGTCCGGGCGGCTACGGACCGCCGATGGAGAACAACCGCTGCTCGAGACCCCGGCTGTCCTACGACGGCATCAGCTTCAAGAGGGCGTATGAGTGCGAGGGGGCATCTGCTGCCATGAACTCCCTTTACCCAGACAACGCTGGCGGGGGGCTGGCGGCTGACGGGGAAACCTCGATCCTAGATGAAGTGGACATCTTAGATCTTGAAGACATGGACTGTCTAAACGAAGACGAGGACAGCTGGTGAGTGACGGGCTGGGAGGAAACCAGCCTGTGTCTTCAGGGCTGGCCGGCAGCTTTCATTTCTCCAACACAGCTGCTCTACACATTAGCTGCCACATAGACGCCTGGCTAACAATCAGCCCAGTAAACTGTCTGAAATAATGAAGTCATCCCCACAACGAGCTGCTCTGTGGATCACCAGAGGGGATTGTTTGGCACACATATGGGTGATGCCAAGCCTCCTCTTTACCCCCCTCCTGACCTGAGTAGTGTCAGAAACTTCTTGCACATTAGTGAAACCTAATTCTGATGGGTTTGGACTCCAGATTATTGCTTTAAAGTGACAGATTGTTTAGCTTGCCCTGGGAGTGGCGGGAGGAGATCAGTGTGTTCAGTGAAATCGACTTGTTTTTCTGGCCGGCAGTCATGTGGGAGAGGTAGCCATGGTTATAGTCCTCCTCTCAATTCTCTTAGCACAGCATTTGGCTCAGAGCTACAAGAGCTCTGCAGCTCCAGCGGAGTCATAGCTGGGAAATCAGCTCACCACCCTGGACTGAAAGCCACAACGCCTTCATAAAGCTGACCTCTAACACAGCATCTGCAGAGATCATAAACAATGAGAGCCACATTATGATAAAAGCAGGTCATGTCTGAGGGTCGCACAGACAAGGATTAGCGTTTGGGAACATGTATTGTTTATCAGACTTAATCCAGCAGCTCATGTCTCCCCAGCAGCTCTGCTGCACTCTCACTGTAATGTTTGGAAAGATTAACATAGTGAGGACGTCTCTGTCTGTACAGTGAAATGAGTTGTATACCAGAAGACATGGGCTGATGGTGATATCCAGGCTTACCAGGGATAAAAAAAGTTACAAAACAACTAAACCATAGAAAAGCACATACATGGCTACTATAGAAGTTTTAATTATAAGCCAGAAAATGGTCAGTGTTTTCTTGTGCAGTGTAAAATGTCACCTTCTCCGTCTTACATGTTGCTGCACATTGTCGGCGAGCTGGCTGAAACGAAACACTTTCATTACTTAGAAATAAGAGCTGTTTGGATGACCGGCTGACTACAGCTAGCTGGCTAATAACACTTTCTGATAATCACTAGTACTTTATAAAACTCAACATGGCTAAAGGGTAAAATATTTTACACTTAATAAGCTCTACACTTTGAAACCAGCAGCTTCAGCTTAATAACAATGTTAAGCTAAAACTGCTAACGCTAAGACACTATTAGCAGTGTCATTGTGCTAACACTGTTATTAAGCTATCAGCGTTAGCTGAATAACAACTTAGTAGGAATGATCTCTGCCACTCCTTCAGTTTCCACTTCTGGGCTTTCTTTCAGCCAGCTGACTAGCAGTTTGCAGAAACTGTCTTAGAAAATTCAGGCAATTTATTAGAAGTTTTTTCAACTGAAGCCATGGACTTTTTTTTTTAATCTGTGGCGTTTTAAAAGCAGGACATGCATAGTTAGTGATGGGAAGGGAGGAGTTATTTTGTGAGGTCGTAGTTACAAACATAGGCAAACATAATGATGGGCCTTCCTTAAGAGACGCCTATTTATGCTCATTTAATTGGTTTCTGCTATTTAGAAGATCCCTAATAGGCATCCTCAGCTCTTTGTGCAGCATAATATGCTCTCCTCAGTGATTTATCATCCAAGTTAAGGTCGTAAATACACTGCTGCAGATCTTGAAAACCTCCTTTTCAGTCTAATTATTTGAGCTCCCTGATGTCCAGGTAAAAAAAGAGCAAACTCCGTCATTTGTGTTGTTTGCAGCAGTGATGTCAGGCTACTTCCGATCACTGCTCACTCGTGCTCAGCAGAGCGTTTGGCGCAGCCTGTTTTACATCAGCTTGATATCCAGGATTACCACAGAGTGCCCAGATCTCGTCAGCTCTTGTCACAGACTCCCGTAATCCCATAAATTAGCATTAGAGTGGATTTAAAACGCTCCCTGCTGCAGCGCTCGGCCTATCTATGGTCGGTTACTGCACTCTTTTTATCTCAAGATGCAGGTTTGCTGAGCGCCGTACTGCACTTGAATGACCTCCATAGAGTTTACAAGTGGCGCAGACATGCAGTCTTGATTCTAGACCATTTTTTCCCCCAGCATTAGCTTCACTTTCCTTGCATTACCTTTTGCTTCAACCTCACAGACTTCCTCAACAAATGCAGCGGCGCTGACAGCTGCTGATTCAGATTCCTTCTTTCGTCTTATCTCAACCATAAACACATTTGTTTTACTTTTAGATTGTAAGTTGTGGAATGCCCTGAAAACTTTTACACCTTTTTTTCAGCTTTGATGACCGCATCGAGAGTTATGTACACACTGATCACTGAGCCAGATTTCTTTGTCATTGCTAAAGCTATTCTTAAAGTTTACTTTCTCCTTGTTCCCTCCTATTTCCTGCTTGTGTTGCATATTGTAGTAAGACCAGAATATATGAGGCGTGAAGACGTACATTTTATTTAAAGGAGGAAGGTGAAATGGATTATCATCGTAATGCGTTCGATTAATCATTAAGTAAATTTGTTTACTGTTTGTACAGTGGGCTGAATAAATGTGTTGACTTGAATCAGTTATGCGCTGCAAAAACACAAAATCTTACCAAGTATTTTTCATCTTCTTTCTTGTGCAAATATCTTAGTTTTGTCTTATTTCAAGTGTACTAACTTACAAATCACTTTTCAGCTAAATATAGGTGCTTGGTTTAACTCAGTAATTCTTTAATATTGACTATTGTTGGCAGATTTGTTTTTGCTTAAGAATTTTTTTTTTTAAATCTGCTTGTGGAACAAGTGATTTTATTTTTTATCAATTATTGACTTGAAACAAGCTCCTATACGTTTCTGAAAAGTTACTTTTAAGTTAGTTTTGTCTTATTTCAAATGTATTAAGATATTTGCTCTAGAAACTGGACAATAAAGAAACATTTGGTAAGATTTTGTGCTCTTGCAGGCATGTATGCTTATTTGTTTCTCCTTTCTAATCTCAGGTTATATGAATCAAAACTGAACAGTCCGCTGCAAAAAACTTTGAGTCCTATCGTGTGGTGTCGGCAAACTCTGGACAACCCCAGTCCTGAGATGGAGTCGGCCAAACGCTCGCTCATCCACAGGCTGGACCTCACCCTCTCAGGTAAACTGAAACACGTGATCTTTATCTCTTATCTTTCATTTAACTGGAAGCAAAAGTTTAAAAAAAATTAAACGATAACAACAATTACCATAAAGTGAAGTTATTTTTTTTTAAGATGGCAGCATTTAAAACAACCTACTATGTTTTACGGTCGCATTGCTCAATCTGGATTCAAACACACCGTTGCTCTTTTCTGCCAGCGCAATATCTGCTGTTGACTTTTGGACTCCCACTAATTATAGTAGTTGTGCGGGGCGGAGGACCGGCTTCAGATCCTCAATGCTAAACTAAGAGACGGGTCATTTCCATTTTGACAGCGGTATGCTCATGTGACCGTTGGATCAGGTTGGGCTGAAGGTTGTGTACTGGAGGAGATGGGACTCTCTGCTTTGTTGTCCAGGAATATTAAATGAAAAGTTCTGTGTACATTTTCCTCCAGATCCAGGAACGCTGGTGTTTGTTTACTGGATCATTTTCCTCAGGTTATTGAATGTGCTTAGAGATAGATGTTTGTGCTACATCTCACCGCACTGTCTTGATTTAGCGATGAGGCCGCAGGGCTATGCTGCCTGTTGGGGGTGATGTCACTGTATATTTAAAAGGATGTCATCTTACATTGGCCTTCTTATGCGATTCGGCTCATCCTTAAATTTGTGCATCTAAAATCGAGACTTTAAATTGTCTTAAATTTGTGGAAAAAAACGTAAGTTGACCTCAAATACATAAATCACAGCTTTTACATTTTGTTAAACTGTTTTTCTGTCAAGCAAAAGTTTAAGTCACACACAGACTTCTTCATTGTGTTCTGCGACTTTAGGGGGTTCAGTCGACACTAACCAGCTGCTAATGCACCTTTGCTAGCAAACTAACTAGATTTGTTTTGTGTCTATCATGGATAAGTGCAAATTTTGTCTGGACAATATTCGTTTTCACTATTGGCTCACTTCTGCTGCCAACCCATGTGAAGGCTAGGTGCATTGCACACAGTGCATAGCCTCAGGCGGATTATGTCCAAAAATGCACTTGGAAAAAAATGCAATTTTCTGCTTTAAATTTCTGTTGCAAAACAGGTCTAAAATTAAATTCATCATGGTCTTAAAAAGCCTTAAATTTGAGTTGGTCAAAAGCCCTAGATTCTTCTGCCATGTGCACAATGAAAGGTTTATTTCATTTTGTCTCTGCCTTAAGCCAATCTCAACTTCTTCACTAACTTCTATGAAAACTTGGACCAAAGTCAGAAGACACACCCGTGTGACTCTCAAGTAATTTCCATTACACCCATTTTCTAACAAGAGCCTGGAAATCCTGTTGCCATGGTGTTGGTTTAATTTGTCTGTGCACAGACTTGAAAGAACAACATATTGTTACTTCTGTGCAGTCACATTGACAAAGCAGTCAGATGTTCTACCTTGTCTCCAATCAATCGCCATGCCTTTTGTATGTGCACAGCTAAAATCAGAACCTCCGGTGACGTTGCTCGGTTGCATAACCTCTGCACAGGAAACGCCTGAGAGTTAGCTCCCTGGGTTAGCGGCACAAATTCTCTCATGTCAGACAGTCCTGATAGACTGGAACCGTTGAACGCGGTTCCTTCCTGCTTTGACAGCCGCCTCCCGCAGCAGAGAGGTGTCACCTGCCACGTTTTCTGAGCAGAAACCTTTGACTCCCATACCTAAGAATCTGCTCAAGCAAAGTCTGTCTCACACTTCACTTCCAGTTTTATCCCTCTTCTCCTTTCAGGCCTTTATCTCCTTGTTTGCACAAGCATCTCTGTTTGTTCTTCTCTCGTGATTTGCCCACAGCTCTCTGCAGCTGTTTGAGCTCCTTCTTTATGGACTTCAACACTCAGTTTTGTGTTGTTTTTTTTTTATTTCTCAAACATTTAATCCTGCTTGGTTTGAAGCAACTGGGTTGTCTGCTGGCTTACTTGGGATTTTCCGTCTTGAAATGATTGTTCCAATAGTTTTTTGGGTTTTTTAAAGTCATGGTGGGATCGGCACCTCTTTTCACTTCCTTTCAGGACACAAGAGTTTTAGGGCGTACTATTTTAGTTCGTCCCCAAGCTGCAGCTCTCTTTGATTGGCTCGTGTCTTTGTGGAATGACAATGTGCTTAAGAATCCGTCCAACCTTACCTGGGTCCAAACTTCTACAACCAGACGAAGAAGAAAAATGGGGCAAGCAGAGCATTGATTTGTCCGTTTCACTCAGTGTGACAGACATACATGTTGATGTGTTGTCGATATTCCTCAGCAGCTGTCCCATGCAGATGTTAGCAGGATGGACGTGCTGGAATTTCCTGAATAATGCAGGAGGACAGAGTGCCGAGTTGAGGGTGAAGGAAGAGGGAAAGTGAAAGAGGCCGCCTGGATGGAGAAGGAAGTCGGCCTTAAAAGGCTGCTTTCCATTCACCACAGAGCAGAGTAAACACACCCAGCCAGAAGGAGAAAGAAACTCTGGGATCGGAAAACGAGACGACGGCCTTCCAAACCACCAGAGGTTTCTCAGTTAACCATCTGCCAGGTTCAGATTGAGATCCTGGGACTCAGGAATGGAGCTTTCTGACTGCTGGTTTGCAGGCTGTCACAGAGAATCGCATTGTTCTGCCTGCATATGGATTGAATGGCATGCTTTGTTTAGGAACTCTATCAGGCCCACACTCAACATACGGTGCTGGACACTCGACCAGACTGGCAGCACAGTGCAGAGCTTTCATTGAGACGCTGGCTCACACACTGAGACCCAACACACTGCATCAGGTCAGGGCGAAACAATGCAACGCCGAACGGAAACAGTTTAAAAGATTTCAATTACTGTTTAGAATTGTAAAATATAACACAGTTAATATTGAAAGTGCTAATAACATTTCCAAGCATGTGCTTCAAGAAGCACCTTTAACACAAATGCAATCACATCTCGAGGAGTGCAAAAACAATTGTTCCATATCAGAATTGGCAAGAAAGGTTTACGGTGTGAGCTGGTATTACGAAACATCTCAAAATTGATTTTGCAAAAAGAAAAGAGCGAAATTTACTGTTTAGCGTCACACGTGCTATCATCTCACAAGCTCAGCTTTTTCATGAGATGTTGTGAAACAGGAAGTTAAATTTGATGGATTCTTAGAGGATTGGTCAAAACTCAGTTGCAGTGATTGATCAGAAAAGGAGGAGAGCCAGAAAATGTTAAGATGGTCAGATTTGTGGCAAAGTTATGTTGACTGGTGAAAATTGCAAGACCACACAAAATTTGAGAATAATGAATGAAATTACGTTGATAGTTGTGATCGCAGCTTCCTGGAGGAATTGGTTGGTTTGGTATTTATTCATTCAGTCGTGCTCTGTTCTTGTTTTAGCCAACAAGCGCCGGAGCCTGTATGGAAGCCCTTATCTACAGCAGAACTACGGAAGCCCATATAGCACAAATGCAGCCAACAGCCCCTACAGCAGCGGCTTCAACTCCCCGTCTTCAACGCCCTGCAGAGTTCCTATTGTCCGCCAGCAGCTGATGCCCAGTAACTCTGGTATGGAGCGCTTGTTATCTCACTCTGCTGCGCCGTATTTTTTTTAGTGGGAGACTGAAATGTTCATGAATGACTTCCTGTCCAGTGCACCAGAGAAACGCAGCGGCGGAGAGGAATCCTCCGGCGATTAGTCCGCAGTCATCAGTGGACAGCGAGCTGAGCACATCGGAGATGGACGAGGACTCGGTGGGCTCCTCGACTACGTACAAACTCAACGACGTCACAGACGTCCAGATAATGGCACGCATGCAGGAAGAGAGTATGTTACCGCAACAATTCTACCTCCAGCTATGCTCTGACTTTCTGCCTCTCAAAGCATTTGTTACCCCGTTCATGTCTGTCGACAGGTTTGAGGCAGGAGTACGCCGCCACGGCGTCCCGGCGGAGCTCGGGTTCTTCCTGCCACTCGCTGCGGCGCAGCACCTTCAGCGACCAGGAGTTGGACGCGCACAGTCTGGAGGACGAGGAAGAGGCGGTGCACATGTCCTTCGCCTCCAACCTGCCCTCCAGCCGTTTCAGTCCATCCCCTCGGCACTCCCCCCGTGTCTCTCCGAGGAACTCCCCACGCTCGCGCTCACCTGCCCGCTCCATCGACTACGGCCACAGCCGGGGCTCGCCGCAGCCCATCATCAGCCGGCTGCAGCAGCCGCGCCACTCGCTGCAGGGCCACGGCCACGACCTGCAGACCAGCGTGGTTAAGAACGAAGGTAAACACAAACCTCACAAGCCTCTGCAAGGATTGAACTGATCAGTGGTTTTCTAATTCAAAATCCGTATTAGACCATTAAATCAATAGTCACAATTATGCCTGGGCAATAAATTGATTTTGTAGATGAAAAGATGGATAGGTAGGAAAGTAGATTTTATTGCAGACTCAAAGCTCAAATCACATTGAAAAGTTTTAGAAGAATTAGTTTTTAGAAAATTTAGATTTTTTTTTTTAACCATTTCACTCCTTGGTTTTTCCAAAGTTGAAAGTGATGTCAGTGTTGTTGTCTGACAAGTTTGTTTCACAGTTTCTGTTCACTTGGACTTTGAATTCAGGGTAACTATGACAAAATATCAGTGCTACGCTACATTTTTTTATTACAAGTATAAAGTCATAATATTACAAGTAGACATATAAATGTCACCATATTAGTTGAATAAAGTTGACAATGAAGTAGTGATTTTATGAGAACTTCTACATAAAAATATAAAAAAGAAATGCTAAGCATCTTAAGTTATCCTCCAGCATTGGTTTCACAGATAAGGAAATAAATTTTCTCTTAACATATTAGCATCAAGTTATTGTCAGTAGCAGATTTTTGAAACAATCATCCAAACGACTATTTTGAAGAAAGAAGTGCATGGATTGTCTGATTTTGATAACCCTCCTGGTAAAATTGCATAATACTACAAATATTCTTGTAGTTAAACAGACATTCTTGTAGCCTGGCTCAATTATTCTGTTACTCAACTCACAGAAGGGATGAATTCTCTCTTTTGTAATTTTTATAGAAAAGAAAGTGTGAAAAAAAATCTTAAAGTCAGATCTGGTTTGAAAAAATCTGAGATGTTATCTGTAAGCCATATCATCGAGCCCTAGTGACAATTCCAGCGATCCACACAAAGAAACGCTTGTGTAGATTTCTTGTTACCGACATCTGGTGTGAATTTCAAGTCAGCGGCTCCGTGAGAATATTTGTACCTCACAGAAACGTGTTGGTACTTCTCTGCCGCATGCCGTGCCGTTCGCTTTGAGCTCATTCGCCCTCTGACCTGCCGTTGCAGAGAAGCTTCGCAGAAGTCTGCCCAACCTCACGCGCTCGGCCGCCGCGACGGCTCAGTCGCCAGAGCCGGTCAAGAACAGCCGCAGCTGCGAGTCCAACCTCCAAGTGCCAAACGGCGGCTCTCCCCGACACCAGAGCCAGTCTGCCAGTGAGTATCACCCCCGACGGCGACCTGAGCGATCTGATGCGACTCGAACAAACAAACCTTATTTATGCTGCAGCAGCCTTCAGATGAAATATTGTAACCACTCTGCTGGCATTATTCAAGCATTTGTTTTGTTCTGCAGCTCAGCAACATGACAGGCTTTGTAATCTCCTGTTAGTCGTTGTGTGAGTGGGATTTGTGTTGTTCTCTCTGGCTGCACTTCCACTGTAGCGACTCTGCTGCTTTGTAGTGACATGGCTTTGTTGTTTGTGTGTGTGTGTGTGTGTGTGGGGGGGATCCTCTTTGAACAGTGTTGGTTGTAACATCTTTTGTTCATCTTTTCCTCTTGTCTAACTTTAACATGAATGGAATGCTGTCAACCTGCAGAGTAAAAGCATGGTACTGGCAGCTGGTTGGAGGACCTTTCACACTAACATATTTATCTCTGTCGTTTTGCTCTTTCTGGGTTAATTCCTCCCTCTGTAAGTAACGACTATCCGTTTAACATAATCCTGTCCAGAGAGGGAAAGGTAATGGTGTTTTCTTAATCCAGGATCAGTAGGAACGGAGCAAGTTTCAGCTGCTGACCCTGACATGGGCGTCTTCAGGACGGGGGACTCTAGAAAAGATTCTGTTTTCTCTTGGGCTGCAGAAGATCTTAATCTTAAACGGTGGCACATGTTGGTCCTCTCTCTGTTTCTACCTGAGCTTTGGTGGCACCAGGCATGTGGGCCCACCTAACCTCTGTCTTCTCTTCACTGTAAAGCATGGGTAACCCACGCCCTCCTTTTTTCTTTCCTCTGGACTTTTCCACCTCCTACAAGAAGCATCCTCAAACACTTTGTGTGTGGAGCCCCCTGGTGGACTTTCTAGGCTTTCTTTATGCTCTCCAGTGAAGCGGTGATTCTCAGATATCCGTGTTGACCTTGTGCCGTGTTTTCCAGCTGCTGCTCAGCTCCCGAGATACTCCGGTACTTCTCGCTCATCCCCGAAACCCAAACAGCTTCTCCAAAAGCCAACCGCCCTGCGAGGTAACAGCCTGAACCAGCTGGAGGCTGTGCAAATGATCTCACACACTGACTTATGTGCACAACTTCTGACACACTAAAAGCATGGACTATCGATGAGTGTAGATGATGAGCTTGCCATATTTATGGGGCTGAAAAGGATGTGAGTGAAGTGCATTAAGGCACTTGATCTCAGCTTGTTGTCTCCGGGGCTGTAATGCATTTTAGATGCTACATTCTCTTTGTGAAGATGGAGGAAATAACGCGGTGGAGCTGACTGCTTGTATTACAGTCTGATGGCAGAGGGGGCAGCGTTCAACTGATTGTTTTTATGACAGAGAGGACTTGTTGGATTGCTAACAGGATGTTGATGTAGCATTCACGGTTAGCATTAGTAACTGGATACATTAATCTAAATCGGTGTTTCTACCATGTCGTTTGCTCGGCTCAGACGCGCTCAGCGCAGATTTTCAATCACACTTTGGAAAGTTTGAGTTCGAGCCGAGCAAACGGTGTGCCGTTTTATACCTGACGCCTTACCTTGCTGCGGCATTCATATTAAGGCCAGGTGAGCTGAAAACAACCTACAAATCAACCTGTTTGAATGAGAGGCAAAGCGCATGACCGGCCACCTCTAGGACACGTGCGCCACCACGACCCTGGTCAATGTTTCAGCTATGAAGCTAACTTCAGAGCCTGAATGAACTGCAGACATTTAGAGGATTTCAAATTTTCCATCCATAGTCAAATAGCCAGACGGTGTTTAAGTGTAACCCCAAAAGCTCAAACAGCTGAAGGTACTGGATTTCGAAATATGGCTGCTATGTGATTGGGGGGAAAGTAAGAAAACAGTGACAGTCCCTGCACACACCCTTCCTTCCTGCTCTGAATTAAGACGTGTCTCTGTTGTCTTTGTCCAGTCCCACTCTCCTGTTGCTTTGGAGAAGATGGTGATTTCAGTGAGTATTCACTGACGGCTCTCGTCTTTCAGTGTCCTGTGACTGTGTTTGCGCTCCCTGGTTGTATCGATGTCGTGCTTTTGGACTGTCCTTGTTTTTGCTCCGTTTGTGACTCGCCTCATTCTGTCAGCACACGACGAATCATCAGTCAGCAGCTGTGTCCGATACGATCCGTTTCATTTTATTCATGCTTGAGTGACCATTTTGTAGTTCCAACCAATGAGGATCATTTGTGCTAGTGGGATGTATTTTTTAAAATATCACCATACTCTTTCATGTCGCTCTACTGACCTCACACTAATGCCAGTCTCACACCATTGCATTGTTGACCACGTCATCGCTAAAGTCGACAAATAAATGGTGCAAGTTTAAGAACAACTCGCCTGACTTCCTTTCTTCTTTACCCGTCTGCAGTCCCCTCTCCCAGTAAACTCCGAACTCCAGCCACGCCATCACCGCTGGCTCTGAGGCAGCCTGTGAAGGCCACGTCCACGCCCAATTCTGCCACCTCCACCCCGACCCGCTCGCTGGCTCCGCCCCGCAGTGGCCTTCCTCGACCGAGTGCTGCTGCAGGAGGAGGCATCCCTCTGCCTCGCAGCAAGCTGGCTCAACCAGTGCGCAGGTACGCCTACCTGTGTGACGTCCCCCTACACTTCTATACATCTCCTCTGTTTAAGTGTCATCAGATTTACATCAGTAATCCAGTTCAAAACGTTAATGAGGTAAGTAGGTTTCTATGGACACTAATCAGCGTTTAGCAAGATGAAAACCAAAGGAGTGTTATCATTACTGAAAGACAATTTCAGAGATTTATTATACTCCCTCTGTGAGGTTGAAACGATTAATTGGATTACCCGTGATGAATCGATTATTGAAATAATCGTCGACTAATTTAGTGATTGATTAATCATTAAATACCATCTCAAAAATTGCCAGTTTGCTGAAAAGCCAAAATTGTATGAAAATGCATACATTTTGCATTTAATATGAAACAAACTTTATCTGTAAATATATTCTTGCCAAAAACTCCTCCAGTTACATAGTTTTAGCTTCACTAAATTCAGATTCTGTAACAAAAAAAAAACTCCTGTTAATAATGTCCAATTAGTGATCAATTAATCTGAAAAATTATCAACACGTTCTCCCTACACTGTATTGATAAGTCAAGTATAAGTAGCTGATCTTTTCACGTTACAAGTTTTAGCTGCAGATGATCAAATATACTAAAGGAATGCTTTGTTATTGCATCTTAAACAATAAAATATTTTTATTTAAAAAAGGGAATTGAATTTTACTGCATTTTCAATATAGCATTAAAAATGCCAATTTTATCCAATTAATCACCAGAATAATTCATAGAATGATCGATTACTAAAATAATTGCTTGTTGCATTTCAAACAAGCTTCTTGGTAGCTTCTCATTTCCTCAACTTTGATGTAAAAAAAAATGCATCAAATTGCTTAAATTTATTTTTATTAACATTCTAATTCCTATCCATTAACTCATTTTAGATATTTTGTATAATTTTTAACTGCAGACATAGTGGACTGTCATCAAAACTTAATCCTGTTTTCCTTCAGATCTCTTCCTGCTCCTAGAGCTTACGGCAGTACAGGCGACAACTGGAGAGAAGGTTGTTACTGAGCCGAACCAGCAGGGGGCGCTCTCCGGCCACACTATCATCAGAACGAAGGCCACAACACGGCACTTTATGAACCTACGTAAGATCTTCTTTAGAGAGACAGACAAACGTGTATAAATCAGAGTTTTAAAAAGGAGAGGAGAGAATCCCCAGTGTGTCAAAGGGCATCCATCCCATCGTCGTTCTCTAGTGCGGCCTGTACAGAAAATGCCAAAGAACCCAGAAGAGGACATGCTGCCTGCAGTCATGTCTCCATGCCCCGGCCTCCCTCCCTCCCTCCCTAACGCCTCCTCTTTCAACCCTCAGGTTGAAATGTTTCCACACATTTCTGTTCTGCTCTGTGTTCAGCAGGTGTTGGTGAGTGAGCTCTATGACAATGGCGTGCAGGTGAACTGTCCTGTGATGTTAACGCAATTGTCTGATGTCTTGCAACAGTGAAGGCACCTCTCTAGTGTGGGTGGAACTCTTTAATCGTTCCTCTCATAAAGTAAAAAAATAAAATATTAAAAAGTCAGCCAGAATGTATGCACAAGTTTGTTTTACAAATTATTTATTCAAATTATTTAAGAAGCATATGTCCAAACATCCATATCAGTATTTTGAATTTAAAAAATTGTGTTTCTAGAGAATGTTCAAGATGAACCTCAGCTGCAAGCTAACTCTCCAAAGCCTTGTTTTTGTCTTGAAGCGTCAGATAAGCTCTGATGGAAAACCAGAGAGTGAGAGACGCCTCAGCCAAAGCCTCAGTTCTATTACGCCCCCTAAGGACGTTTCTCACAGTGCTCAGAGAAAGGACAGCTTATCAATAAACCCAAGTTGTTTTGGTTTCCAGAATCTGACTCGTTTTGTTTTTTGTTGTGATGGAGACGTTATCGCTGTCACTCATTCAGCTGATGCAACCAAGACAACTCTAATGTTTCCCAGTGATCTGTGTGTGTCAAAAATAAAAGGAATTGAAAATAATTTGAAAGGTTTTGATGGGCTTTCACGTGACGTGCTACATGAATCAAGAAAGGCATGCCAGTGTTCGGACAGGTCTTTGGGTCATTGCTTTGGTGGGTGTCTTAAACCAGTGCCTATAATTTAAATTTTCACTTGAGGTTGATTATGATTTGTGCCAAGATGTTTTTCTTTTTTTTTTTTTTTTTTTTTTTTTTTTTTTGCAAATGATGTTTTCAGCTTTGCATCTATGCCTGGTTAAAAATGCTTGTCTGTTTGTTTTTCTAACTAAATCACACACTTATAATTGCTTTAAAATGTTCCTTTTGCCTTTGTATTTATATATATATATAAATACTGGTTTTGTAAATGAAACTATTTATTAAAGAGATGGGTGCCTCTGTCAAAGCTCAGATTCGGTGGGAAGCCAGGATGAATGTTGCAAAAAGACGTATAGCACACACTTTGTGCGAACCATTTTTTTTTGTTAATGAACCTTTTTTATAGCCACAACCATGACATTTGGATTTCCTCTGTAAAGTCACATTTCAAATAAAACTTTAAAAGTTTCTCCTTTCTTCTGGAGCCTGACTTATTTTTTCCCCCCATCCAAAACAAAAAGTTGGGTTTAATTTGAACAGTATAAATAAAAATAAGATAAGTAATTGATGTAAAGTACTAGAAAAACGAGAATCATAAACCAAAATGTACAGTTAATGACGATCTATCTGGCAAACTAGGCAGGCATCGTTTCAGTAACGTCTTTAAAAGCATCATGTATTCAACACTCAAACCGTATTATGTACCTGAAGCCACTTCCTGGTTGCCAGGAACAGCCTGTGATGTTTGTGCAGAACGAAGAGGAGATTGAATCATGGAGCAGTCCAAATCATCCCATCCCATACAGAACCTCAAAGGTGTGACGTCAGGACTCGTATCCTCTTGAAGAGTGAGACAGTGATCTGCTGCAAACCTTTATGGACACATAAAACAGACAATTCACATGGATGATGCTGAATGTGGTGATTTATTGTGAGGAAAGATCACTAATTCATTAATACTGCTCGGGATGTCTGACCTCTAAGTGTCATCTGGAGGACTTTGGTACTAAACTGCTGGTTTAAGAAACTAATGGACTTTAATGATGGCTAAAAAATAAATTGTAGAAATCTAAGGATTAAATTCTGGGAGGGAAATAAACTACATTTGTGCTGTAAAAGATTCTTACATCCTGGTATGATTTTTGACAAGCTTCCAGACTAATTTAACTTAAAATCTTGCTAAAAGACTTCAGTGATGACGTTTGGTCATTCAGATTGACCAGCGGAGCTTCCATGTGTGTCTTTGTTACCAAGTTCTTATGAGATCCATGCAGTTTTCTCACACAGCTGTACAGAATGCAAATTATTTCCTCTAAAGGAGGAATATGGTTAAAAACTTGCAAAATGCTAATACAGTGGTCACGAAACTTTACCGTAATTTAATTAAGAGCTGAAACAAAATGGCAAACAAATAGAAAAAGATAGTTTGATTTGACTTGGTGAAAAACGAGTTTTAATTCCAGACACATCAATCAGTCAATGGTCAAATCTTGCGAGCTACTTGCGCCACAAAGTTCAAGAGCGCCGTGCGTCATTCGGACATAAAACACACCAGAAAACTGTCAGAGCCGCAGCTCTTCTCTTTTTTGTGGCTGCGTAAAGCAGGAACTTCAACTTCTGCAGCTGAAGCGTCAGAGCCTCCAGTCCTGCAGGACCCATCGGTGGCACCGGACTGACTGCGAGTCGCTTTAAGACCATCGGTACCGTCACATCCCCTCGGACTCTGGATCAGCTCCTTATTGGTGACCGCGCGCCGCTAAGGGACTCATTTTACGCGCGGACACCAGCAGGCGCACAACGCGACCGTGGAGATACTTGATCCTCCTGTTGCGCCATGGAGAACTCCAGCGCGCAGGCAGCTGCCGTCACGGACTTGATCTCGTACACTTTGAAGCAAACCGTGGATTCACGGCGCGTTTCGGAGGGATTTTTTTTCCTGGACGGCGGCGCACTCAGGACTGACGCTGAGGTTGGATTTATGACCGCTCCCCAAACCGAACCTCCTCTCCTGGTTCCTGCCTTCTGGGACTCCCCGCTCAGCCACGGCATCAATGTGTTCGTCGGGCTGGTCCTCTGCTTCACCATGCTGGGCCTGGGCTGCACCGTGGAGGTGAGCCAGCTCGGGGAACATATCCGCAGACCCATCGGGGTGTTGCTGGCTCTGGTGTGTCAGTTTGTCATCATGCCCCTGGTGGCTTTTCTTCTGGCTTTAGCCTTCTCTCTGGATGATGTGGCAGCGATGGCGGTCCTCCTGTGTGGCTGCTGTCCTGGTGGGAACTTGTCAAACATCATGTCTTTGCTGGTCCACGGAGAGATGAACCTCAGGTAGATCCCGTGTGCTCACCCAAAAAGAGTTCCCGGCGCGTTGGGATCGCGTCTTTCCCACAATTACGCACAGAATAGGAGATAACAAATAACATCTTGCACTGAATCTGACCTAAAGTCATTTTTCCATGTCAGTAAAGTGAGCCACAAACCGCGCCCCGCTTTCTGTAACAACTGCGCTTCTGTCCTGTCTCCCCAGCATCATCATGACCATATCCTCCACCCTGCTGGCGCTTGTCCTGATGCCCCTCTGCCTCTGGATCTACAGTCGGGCCTGGATCAACACGCCCGTGGTCAACCTGCTGCCCTTCGGGGCTATCATCCTGACCCTGTGCAGCACCCTCATCCCCATCAGTTTGGGTGTTATGCTGAGATACCGCCACACACGTGTGGCCGACATTGTTTTAAAGGTAATGTTGGTCCAGTTCCTTTAAGTTTTATATGCATTTGACTTTTCCATCGGAAATACCAGAGGCGCTTTTGCTGTGGGGTTTGTGGAGATCAACTTTGCGCAAAGACGCACTGCGTAAATCTTCAGCGCTTATCACGAGAGGCTGAGTTGGGAGGAGTGAGGGGATAGTGACATCAGAGACTCTGAGTCAGGGAGAGCTCCTCCCTGTCGCTACTGATACCAGTCTCACATGAAGTCTTTGCACTGACGCACCAAGCTTGGGATGCGTTGAGTTTTTAGAGGATAAAACCAAATCAGATCTCAGAGATCCTCTCTAAACGATGCCCTACCGAAAATACCCCTTCAACTCTTAATGCTACGACCAAAAACTTCAATATTGTTGGAAATTTATGTGTCAGACCAACACAAAGTGAAGTGTGGCTGTGAAACAAGACATCGCTGAATTTTTGTTTAGAGATTCAAATCTGAAAAGTATTTTGTGCAGTTCCTTTTCCTCAAAAACCACAATGGAACATTTGGATCAGTCTTGGTAAAGCCCAGACCTGAATCAATTTGAGAATCAGAGGCAAAAAAAAAAATATGTTCATGCAAACTCCATGTCTCGGGAGCTATTTTGCAAATGAGAATGAACTCAAATGCCACTTTCAACAAAGTTGGTCGATATAGAAACTCCAAAGCCTGAGAGAAAGTATTGAGAATAAAAAAAAATTAACGCTGCACTTTTCAGATTTTAATGTTTTGCAGAAAATGTACACTTTTTTTTACCACTTCACAGTTATCAGGGCTGGATGATATGGCTGGAAGTTATATCACAATATAAGCGTTTCATATTAGTCCATACCAATAATTATTGATTAGTTTTTTGTTTTTTTAAATATCTAAAATACTGCCAAACTCTGAAACTGCTCAAGGGGTTGTTGCTAGGCAAGCAACGAAAGCCTTTCCTCTGCCTACATTCCCCAGAATGCTTTGCAATTCTGCATCAGAGTTGAGCAAACTGGTCACCTTCATAAAATAATGGTCGAAGTCATAAAAATAAGAAAGAAAGAATAAGGGAAAGAAAACGCCATCTCTTTCTAGCCAAAAAGTGATTCAGGCAAAAATCACTTTTGGCAACAACAACAAAAAAAAAAGATTTGTCGATTTTCATTTTTTAGGAAGGTGACAATATTCCATTAGACACATTTTGTATACATATTGGTCACGTCTTTGTCATGATACGTATCATTATTGATTTATTGCCCAGCCCTACCAGGTATGCACCATTTTATATTGGTCTATAAAATAAAATTCCAATAGACTTAATATCATGGAGCAAAATGTGAAAACTAACTTTTTACTGAATAAAAAGTTGCCTCTGTCTTTCTGATCCGGTGACTCTCTGTCCTCAGGCGTCCCTGTGGTCTCTGCTCGTCACCCTGGTGATGCTGTTCGTCCTGACAGGGGTGATGCTGGGGCCGGAGCTGCTCTCCACCATCCCTCCCTCCGTGTACGCGGTGGCCGTCCTGATGCCCCTGTGCGGGTACGCCGCGGGCTACGGCCTGGCCGTGCTGTTCGACCTGCCGCCCAACAGCCGCAGGTCTGTCTCCCTGGAGACGGGGTGTCAGAACGTGCAGCTGTGCACCGCCATCCTGAAGCTGGCCTTCCCTCCTCAGCTGATGGGCGGGATGTACATGTTCCCTCTGCTGTACGCGCTCTTCCAGGCAGCCGAGGCCGGCATCTTCATCCTGGCCTACAAGCTGTACAGGAAGGAGGTCCTGCATAAATCGGACCCCGCGATGGACGATGGCGAATCAGACATAACGTATCAGAGGTTCCGTGACGAGGACTTTGAGCCGTCTTACGGCGCCGTGACAGTGAGTGACCCGAACACAATCATGCTAGAGCCCTGCCCCCCTGACCCTACTCCTGTTTAGTATTTTAGGAGCCGACGTTCCTTTGCTGCTGCTCTTAGGAGAAGAGACCAGAACATTCTGATTGCTGTCGTTCATTAAAAGAAAAAAACAGACAAACAAACAAGGAGATGAATGTGAAAGGTTGACGCGGGGTGCTTTATGTCATGAGCTTAATTCATTCAAGTTAATCACTGTTGCCTTTTAAAATGAAACAACACTGCTGTTCCCTGTGGAGTAAAAAAAAAATTACAAAGATGTATGACCATGTGTAAGTGATGATTTAAAGAACATATCAAACCGTGCAACCAAGCCTGTGCCAAGCTGTGTCTGTACATTACTGTATAGAGCAATTAAAGATCTATATGTAGTCTACTTGTTTTTCTTTTTCTTTTGTTTTTACGTCCATCGATGCTGCACTATACTGCCATCTTTCGGATTATGTTCTCATCATTTCCTTTCCTCCAATTCGCTTAGTGACTTTGGTACTTTTCAGAAATCAAAATCTATATTCCTTTCCCTGCATTGCTTTCCACTGAGCAACCACCTTTTCAAATTTGAGTTCCCTATTCGACCTCCTTCACTTACTCGACAATATTCTTTGATGCACATTTTCTGCAGCAAACATTAAACCAATCACACAAGCCAGTCAAATGTTTCTCCACCAGTTTTTATTCTATTTATTCCTCTCATTTTCATAACATCAATGTTGCATCCCATCTAAATGTCTCCCTTTCTACCTCATTCCATTTTTCCTAACTTCTTACCTTCTTTCAAAACTACACTTACGCCTTCAGATTTAGACAACTGTATCTAGACAAATGTCAATATTAACTTTTCTTTAACAACCTCCTTAGCCAACATGTCTAGGCATTCGTTGCCTGCATGATAAGTCCACGTCTTTCATGTTTCTGAGGTGAAACTCCACAGCTGAGCCCAATCAGGCCTGATGGAGGGCTCTGGCTGTCCAATCTATTTAAATAGTTACAACGCGCAGGTTGACCTGGTTGAGCAAAGAAAAACATGGCAACATATGGTGAAGATCCAGTCGACAGATACTTCTATTCATCTTACAACCCTTACGTGGGCAGGTACACCCGGCCCAGAGACTCCGGGTGGAAGTATAAAGGTTATTTCTCCCACTACGCCGACGCCTCTGACGCGTTCAACAACCAGCAGCGCGCGCAGCTCAAGTCCATCTTGTCCCAGATCAACCCCAAACTCACCCCGAGGCTCCGGAAGGCCAACACCAAGGATGTGGCGGTGCAGGTCAACCCGAAGAAGGACGCCTCGGTGCAGTGCGCCATCGGCCCGCGGACCCTGCAGGCCATGAAGCGGGACTCCCAGCGCAGGAAGAGGCCGGAGCCCGCCACGCCCAGCAGCCCGAAGGCGACAGGTGGCGTTCGCTATCCCCGAACCCTGGCCGTGTACTCCCCCATAGCTTACCGGAGCGTCACGTCATTCCTCGTGGACGACAATAACAACATCAAGGCCGCGCCCTCTGAGGCGACGACGACCGCGGAGCCGCGCGGCGACGCGGGAGAGGGCGGCGAGGGGCCGGCGGAGGAGGACGGCCAGGCTGGTGAGGCTGGGAAGGCCGCAAAGTCTCCCGAGCCGAGCCAGAAGTTTAAACTGCAGCCGCAGGTGAAGGGTGAGCTCGCGCCGCCTGTCACAGAAGAGTCACAGGGCAAGGCGCGCGTGCGCTTCCAGGTGAGTAGAGGCGCGTGCGGCAGCTTTACTGAAGATTTCAGGAGAAACTGAAATAAACCGACATTTAAGGACCTTCCAGCCCCAATTGCACTTTAAATACTTGTTTTTGTTTTGTTTTTCTCATCGCAATGTACAGCCTGTACTGTCACTGCTATAAAATGCCAATACATTCTATGAACATTGGTGAGAACTCAAAGAAAACCTTTCACTTTTAATAACTTCTATGTACAGATCAGTTGTGTATGCAGAGTAATTGTCTAATTTGCCTGTCTAATTAGTTCCTGGAACAGAAGTACGGATATTATCACTGCAGAGAATGCAATCTGCGATGGGAAAGTGCTTATGTATGGTGCGTTCAGGGCACCAACAAGGTGAGTAACTTCACAAGAGATTAGTGGTTGGCTATTGCACTGAAAGTTGACTGTAAATGGATTTGGAGCAAACGGGTCTACTCTTTTCTAGGTTTACTTCAAACAGTTCTGTAGGAAATGCCAGAAGGGCTTCAACCCATACCGAGTGGAAGACATAACGTGCCATGTAAGTTGCGTCCCCGCTTCTTTGCGTCCGCCTCCTCGCACCTCATCCTCATGGGTCTCTCGTTCTCCAGACTTGCAACAAAGCCCGCTGCTCCTGTGCCCTGACCCAGCGGCACGTTGACCCCAAACGACCCCACAGACAGGACTTGTGTGGCAGATGCAAAGGCAAGCGGCTCTCCTGCGACAGCACGTTCAGCTTCAAATACATCATCTGAGTCTGTCCGACTGAAACCCTCGACGCAAAGCACAAATTTTTGATGTTTCAAAACTTTATTTTTTTTTTTTTCCCAGGTATGTTTTGTTGACTCTGTAAGCACATCATGCCTTGGATCGTAATAAATGGCTACCTTGCATTTTGGATGTTTTTATAAGCATTTTATTTTTGCATTAAGTGGTCTTTCATTGGTCAGCAGCGGTTTGGGCGTGTGCTAGATGACTAGAGATGTCCTGTAGGAATGAAGTCTTTAGTTGGCCATAGAAGGCAAAATCAAAATGTACCAGATGAGGAATGAGTTGAACTGTACAAGCATTAGTCCCAAGAGAAATCCGGAAGGATGAACACGTGATCAAATGTAAGTCCAGAGCACAACCTGTGAAGGAATGTATATTGATGCAGCTTGAAACTGAAGCCAAAAAAAAAACAAACAGGCTCCCACCTTCCAAGATGAGCCTATGAAGATTTCAGAATAACAGCTTAGTGACTCAAACCTGCTGTGAGTTTTTCTTATGTTAGCTTTATACATCCCATTTGGGATGAACAGTGCATTACACAAAATTACAAGGGGGGGAAAATACTGGTTTTACACTATACACTTTCTAAAATATATACAGAGTACAATAAGTTACGCTTTCATTATAAGCTGTAGCGAGTCTGCACTTGTGTGCAATTCAATGCATTTGTGTATGAGCATCTCCCAATATATATATCACAGTCGAGAGTCTAAAGGCATCTACTTATTTGGTAAGAGTGAGTTTTGCGTGAAGACCTGCTGAAGGGAACTCATCTCTCGGAGCAATCAAACATATATTTCTCTTTATACACTCCCTGAAGGCAGGGGGTTTTCCCCACAGGATCACATGTTAAATATCCTAACATTTACAACCTAAGATGTTAGCTCTAATAAAAAATACATTTCTCAAAAAAATATTCTTGCAGTGCTTTCTCACTTTCAAGCATGCATTTGAAAACTTCTTTTTTTTTTCTTTTTGTTTTATAAACAAGATTCTTCTGAGTTTGCTTATGAGTCTTGATGGTGTGTCCTTAACACGGACCGTCGTACGCGCTTCGACACAGACTCCCAGATCGGAAGCGGAGGAGGCCAGCGCTCAGTGCGACGGGCTCCTCCTGGTCAGATCAGGCAAAAAAAAAATAACAAAAAAAAATGTAAAATGAAATATCCCACTGCGTCCAATCAGACACACCATCACATGACTTATTGCAACTGAATTTTGCAAGTTGGCTTAGTCTGGAAAAAGCTATAAGCTTTAAGCATTCATACAAGTAACGCTAATGCATGAAGAGTCACAGTTACTTCCCACGCATCCTTTAGCCCTTTGTATGTATAGTCTCTCTTCTCTGCCCCAAATCTCTATAGGGGACCGATTTCGGTCCGGTTTGGTTCGGTTCAAAGTCCGGTGCTGAATGTGGTCGTGTGAAGCTGGCAGGCCTGGGCCTGACTCAGAGCCTCGCGGATCTGCAGGTTGAGCTCCATGAGGCGGGCGCTGGCCTGAGACAGGTCCCTGCTGGGCCCCACCACCGCCAAGCAGCCCGTCTGGCCCAGCGTTTGGTGGCGGAAGTAGATGTGCAGGAGGGTCTGAACGGCGTTGTCCTTCTCGTTCCCGAAGATGTCGTTAGGCCACAAAGACCTGAAGATAAACCAAACATCAGTAACGGAAAAGAGCTTCAGGTGAAAAGACTAAGATCAAACAGATTTTGATTGTCAAAGATCTTTTATGTTGGCATGTCTGCAGGGAATCCTTTGCTTCACATTTTGTCAAGTTAAAACCACAAACTTTTATGTAGTCTATTGGGATTTTGCATGACAGATCCAGAAAGGTAGAGTACATTATTAAAGAGGACAGCTAAAGTATTTTTTCTGTTCTTAATAACTACACACGATTCTGAAATAGGTGGCATATTTATTCCTCTTTAAAACATTCAGAATCTGTAATTCAATTTGTCTGAGCTGGATTTTTATTCATTTTCTTTAAAACTTCTAGTTTCTGTCGGTGGAGACAAAATGTGCAGCTGTAACTTTAGCAAAAGCATTAAGTCCAATGTGGCTACAAAAGGATGCTACACTTTTCAGATTTTCATTCATAAGAAGAAATATCAAAAATCTTTTGCACCACTTTGATTTTATTGAACACATAAAATCCAAACAACTTGCATTGGAGTTTGTGGTTGTAACGTGACAAAATGTAGCACATCACAAAAAGCCAGAGAAACACACAAAATATTTTTGCCTTAACTGATGAACTTGTATTAGCAGAGAGAAGCGTTCAGCTGGTGCTGCTGCGTTGATCTCACCTGAAGATCTTGACCTGCGTCAGAGCGGAGCTGAAGTCTCTGGCTCTCAGCGTTTCTATCAGTGACTGGATTGCCGTCTCGGTGTTGGTCTGGGCATTGTCTGACATGCACACATCCTCCTGGTTATCATTTCCTGTTTCTGCCTCCATCAGGCAGCTCTCCAGGATAGTGAGTTCCTCGGACATGTTGGTCACCTTGGAAACGGACAGAAAAAATAAATAAAAATAAAATCAGCCCCGCATCATAGCGTTAAATAACATGTACGGCATAAAGCTAGGAGATCAGCTAAATAAACCTGAAGTACATATTAACTGGATTAGGTGGCTCTCATCGATCTGTGAGGGCAGTGATCTAATCACACCAAGTAGCGAAATCTGATTAGGATTTGATTGTAATTTAGGCGAGGTCGGGTTCAACTGCGATGCAGGCGAACAGTTCATTGCTACACGGTGTCAAGTGTTGCTGTGGAGAAAGACAAATACTAAGCATCTATCAAAGAAATCTGCATTTTGATTTAGTTTCTCTAACAGAATAAGCTAAATTAGAAATACTTTGGGGGAAATTGTAATGTAATGTTTCAACTGTTGATTTTTTTTATGTTTTTATGATGTAAAGCACTTTGAACTGAGTTGTTGCAGTTGATGAAGCTTGTGGGAAAGATCATACTTTCCGACACATGGATAAACAGAATTCATCAAGTTAATTTGAAATAGTTTAACATTTAAAAACAGCAAAAAGTGATTCTGGTTAATGTCCTGTAGATATTCGCGTTGATACATTGATGACTTTCCAAGGTTTTCACCAGAAAACTTGCTAACCTTGGTGTCTTTTTGAGTTAAAAAATGTTTAAAGTTCACAAAAATCAAAAAGTCAGAAAATATCACTTGATAATTACGTGTTATGAAAAGATTGGAAATTTAATACCTGACCACCAACAATAAAGTCTTAAAAATGAAAACATTTTAATAAGACTTAAATAAATAAGCAATGCTTAGCCTGGTGGTCCGCCAGGCTTATAAAACATGGGGGAAACCCCGACGTTCTCTCTTTTTTACCTTTAATCAACTCAAAGTGATATAAACACACAAATATGCCAAAAGGGTTATAAAACGTAAAACTTTAAAAAGCAAATGCCTGAGTGTTTGAAGCAACAAAGCTAGCCGAGTACAATCTTCTTAATTTTTATTTTTATGTTTTCACTTTAAAGTGAGTTACATCTTGTCAACTCACTTTAAACAAGTGCAAAGTTAAACCTCTGGTGTTCCTATGTTTCTCCCTTTTAAACTCACTGCATGTTCTTACATCCAATGAGTTCAAAAGCTAACCGCATGTAGCGGTTAGCTTGCCGAACCTTTGGGTTCAGCAACCTTCCTGCTGAACACAAAAGAAAAGTTGCTTTGACTCATATTTATTTAACCTAACTTCTGCCTGAAGCTCTTCAGATTATCTCATTCTGAAACTGAAAATTCAGATTTTATGTCAGTTGTTTACCAGTGGGTTAAAAAAAAAAAGTTTAAAAAATTGCCCACATTATTAACGGTTCATAACTTTATCTTGCAGCTGGCTGGTAAGTTGTGTCATCTCGATTGAGGCTTGTTGCCATGGCCCGTTACCCGCCCCTCACCTCTGCCTCTCGCTTCATGGTGTCCACTCTGCTGATGAGCTTACAGTAGGCCTGGAACAGCAGAAGCAGCTGAAAGTGCAACTTGTAGAGCCGCCGACACAACTCCAGCTCCTGTGGAGAAAAACCCAAAGGGAGCACGTTTCAGCACAGTCTGCGCCGGCGTTACTCTGATTGTCACATGATCAAATTAATTGTCTACCTGGGTTAGATATGAGGGAGAAAATGAAAACGGTTAAAGTTTCATTCTGTTAGGGCCACGGAGGAAGAAGTGAGGAAGCTACGATTATGGTCACTGATGAAATCAATTTTGTCACCACATGGCATGGTCCCGACTATGAGACAAGATGAATGATCCAGCTACAATCTCAACCCGAGAAGCATGGATGGCAAAAAAAAAAAAAATGGAGGATTTGAACAGAAACAGGAATGGGGGAAAAAATGTACATGCAAAATGAATTGATAGCTCGGGCTTTTTTGAGACAAGAAATCACCTAGATAAACACTGAACATGTGCAAACGATACCAAGGCAAAGCACAAAAACAAACAGCAGGACTGATCTGACTGTCAACAATATTATAACTCAAAACAGAAGAGCAGAGTGTTTTGATTGGGCCGACATGGAGTTGAATTGGGTTACATGACAATAATCAAAGCAGAAACAAAGATTGAGATACAGAGGTGGGTGGGAGCGGAGCGATGAGATGGTCAGTGTTTTGTCCGGGTGGCGTCGTTATTAAAGTCTATAATAAGAGAACCACTTACTGCTAGATTTTCCATTTGCTAAGCAAGAAGGTGAGCAGGTCAGACACACGTATATACACGCATACACACACACACACACGCACACGCATACACACAAACAACAACAAGGAGAGAAAGACCAAGAATTAGTGAGCTTTAAACATGACAGCTGAGACATGGTGACCTGAAGGCCAAGGAGCGGCGCTTCGTCATCTTCCCTGCACGCGGCGCAGAGAAGGCCGGAAACGTGTGAGCTGACTTTTAACAGAAACTTGATCGATAAAAGGCAAAAAAAAAACAGTGTGTGTAGAGAGTGAGAGAATAGAACAGACAGGAAGGAGCAGTGAAACTGTAAATAAGAGTGGATGAAATGGAAGAATACAAAACTTTGAAGGGACCAGTGCCTTGCGAAGATATTCACACCAGATTTCGCCTCAGTGCAACACCAAACCTCAGA